GAAGTCAATAGGATGAGGGTCAGAGGAGAGGTGGCTGGTGGTTGCCAGCCATGGGGAAGTCTCGGTCTGGCCATCTGTCTGATTGGGTCAGGAGGCCTAAAGGGGGGGGATGGGACTGGGGATTAGGGGTGGGCTAGAGGATCTGAGCTGAGGTGGCTCAAGTGGTTAAGACACTGAACTGCAGGCTGTGGAAGGTCAGTAGTTCAGCAGTTCGAGACCCGGGTGCCGCAAGATGGAGTGAGCTCCCATCTCTAGTTCCAGCTCCTGCCAACCCAGCAGTTCGAAAGCAAGAAATTGCAAGTAGATAAATAGGTACCACTTTGGTGGGAAGGTAACAGTGCTCCGTGCGCCTTGGTGTTTAGTCATGCCGGCCACATGACCACGGGAACGTCTTCGGACAGCGCTGGCTCTTCGGCTTTGAAACGGAGATGAGCACCGCAACCCTAGAGTCGGACTCGACTGGCTTTCGAGCAAGGGAACCTTTACCTTTTTAGAGGATCTTTAAAAAGGAGGCTCCAGCAGTAGACCAGGGTGGAAAAGGCAACATTGCTCTGAGGTCTGGGGGAGCAACGGTACTGGGCAGAGGGAGGAACAAGGTGGCACTACTCCCCTTCTTCGCCTATTCTGAGGCCTGGGGGAGCCCCACATCATGTGACAGGATAGCCAAATGTCAGCAGGTGGGGCCACATCAACAAATATTTATTGAATATGAATTAGACTTTCATGAACTGTCATAAGTGGCGGATGGCTAAGAAATGCTGACTACACTGTAGGACAGATAATAGACTACAGAGAACTTCAATATAACCAGCACTTAAGAAGTTAAGTCTTGACTCTATGTTCAACCATTGCTTTGGTGAAATTTTACCCTATTGATCCTTTAGGTCAAATTAATTTCGTGATGTGCAGAGTCTTATTGACATCTCGTCAACACACTCGTCATCTGAAGGTAGCCATATGGCTGACACTAAAAACTAAACTAAACTGATGACATCCAGCTATATCTACTACTGGACAGCCACCTGGATGCTGCCTCGCATAATCTGTCCAAGGGTCCGGAAGCTGTAGTGGGATGGTTAAAACAGAGCAGGCTGAGGCTGAATCCAATGAAGATGGAGGTTCTGTGGCTGAGGAAAGGTGTGTCAGGGCTGGGCACAGATTTTCAACCCTTGATGGGGTGCCACTGTCAAGAGTTTGGGTGTGGTCCTGGATGCCTCCTTAACTATGGAGGCCCAGGTCACAAGTATTGCCAAACTGGCATTTTCCCACCTATGCCAAGCATGGCAATTAGCCCCTTTCCTGTCATGCCCTGACCTAATCAAAGTAATCCATTTGATGGTCATTTCCAGACTAGAGTACTGTAACTTGTTCTACACTGGCCTTCCCTTGAGACTGACCCAGAAACTCCAACTGATCCAGAATGCGGTGGTGCGAATCCTGACAGGAAGACCATGAATGGCACATATACAACCTGTGCTGTGCCAGCTACACTGGCTTCCAGCGGAGTACCAAGTCAGATTCAAGGTGTTGGTATTGACCTTTAAGGCCTTGAGCGATCTGGGGCCAGAGTATCTTCAAGACCATCTCCTCTGGTATGTCCCTGGAGAGCATTACACCCTGCTGTGAGTAATCTCCTGGTGATCCCTGGCCCCAAAGACATACGGCTGTCCTCAACCAGAGCTAGGGCTTTCTCAGCCCTGGCTCTGACCTGGTGGAACTCCCTGCCAACTTCCATCAGGGCGTTGTGGGATTTAATGCAATTCCGCAGGGCATGTAAGGCAGAGATGTTCCACCAGGCTTTTGGTTGAGGACAGCAATGGTTTCCATTATAGCTGGCACCCTCTTTTTTTCTTCCACCTTGCCTGCTTCAGCCTCCTCCTTAACCTGCCCATGAGATGGAAGAACAGTCCAGAGCAGGTTTTAGATTAAATTATAGACACCATTTGAAGACTGTGAAATTTGGGATTAACTGATTGTTGATTTTAAACTGTAATTTTGTATGTTTTAATTTATTGTAAATCGCCCAGAGCTCTGTGTACTCAGGGATGGGCTGATTCAGAAATTATAATAATAATAATGATGATGATGTTGTCAATTAAAGATGAATCCAGACAAAACTGACACAAAGATGCTTGGCAGGATCTATGATCTAAAGAGAGTAGAAACGTGAAACTGATAATGGTAAAGTCCTCCAAAATGTTTATGGACCTATGCTATACAATAGCAGTGGTAAAAAAGAGATGAGTTGAGTTGTTATATTAAATTTATATCTATTTGTAAATGTACTGCTATCCATTCATGACACTGGGAAGGCAAGAAACTGGTATCATTAAACAGACAAATTTCAATAGCATCAGTCAAATTCAAAGCTCTATAATCTAAGTGATAGGAAAAAATACAAAATTAAACCAATGATTAAGCATCTACCTCCGCAAATTCACATCTCTACCCAACTATACAAGTTGTCCACATGTAATTATTCCGTAAGGCTTTAATTATTTTTTTTTAATTTTGTAGGTTACATCTTTGAGTTTTTGCATTATAGCCAAACAAACATTAGCCAATGATTACATCACATCTCTGCAAGCACAAGTATAGTTATCTAATAGGACATCTGGCTCTTTTAAGTATTAAAAATAATGTACTAAATCAAAGCCTAATTTCTCACAAATGTTTGTAGCATTTAAAAAGACAGAGAGCAGAATTGCATCTGTTAAAAAATAAGCAACCTGCTAATTTCCTCCAATCTCTTCTTCGCTTAATTGTCCATACTTGAATAATGCAATTTCCAACACAAACGTACCAGAAAAAAATTGCAATGTTATTTTATTTTCTTTCATTTTTCATTTTTCTTCTTGTAACCATACTGCCTAAACTAATAATCTCCATCTTCATGTTAAGTGTATCTTTCATAATTTTTTTCTCATTTGCTGTAAGGATTTATGCTTTGCTGAAGTACAGCACATAGCTTTCAGATAAATCAGAAATGCTACAGTAAATTAGCTTAAACAATCCCTTTGCTTAGATTTCCTATACAGACATGGATTCTTTAAAAACCATTTAATAGTTATAAAAGAAAACAAGAATTTAATAAATATTCATTTGTTTTTATAATAATAACTATCATAGACATCAAGCAAATGTACATAAATATAGGCTGTGAAACTTTTTTCAGTGAGTCTCAGAAAATAGTTTGTATAATCTGTCTCATTACAACTCACTATTGTACAGAATCAAAAATATTGAGAGGACAAAATGTATAAAACAGGGTCCAGTCCTAAAGAGCTTACAATGTACAATTTATGAGAGAAGGCAAATCCAAAAGAGTTGGTTTAAATAATTCATTTTTAAAGTAATTCAAATTAATAACATCTAAAGCAATTCATAAGCTCGCTGTACTATATTAAGTACAAACACATAATGAATAAGTAACTCCATGCACCAAATCGTCACCAGCTAAAAATTCCATAATAGACAAGATTTGAAACAGTGTACAATAAAGGAAAATTATTTAACCACTGATTAAGGGTACTTCTGAAAGGAGAGAACTTTAAAAGGAGAGATGAATTAAGAAAGGGTTATAAATAGTCAGTGCAACCATAAACAGAACAATATTTACAGCTATATAATGGAATGATTTGTGAGATGAAATAGACAATGGTACAGAAAATGTCCTTCACCTGCAATGGTGGCATTGCAACAAATACAAGATCAGGAATGAAAGCAAATTTGCAGTAGAGCAAAGTGGAAGAGTTGGGTCCAATCATAGGAAAATTTAGAGGACAATATTTAAACTAAGTGTTAAAAGAAACCTTATAAATGACATAGGAAGACATGGATTAAAAATAAAATTTATTCAAATTTTAAATATTGATAGGGGTTTGTATCACCAATCGTTTGAGATAGCAAATAATTAACAGCATTATCAATATAGCTAAGGCAGATAAATAGCACTGTTTCTATTACAATCATTGGGTTGGATCCAAACTTCTGCAAAACCAACTAGTACAGAGAATGAGCTTTGTCCTGGTTTCCCCTTCTATCAGTAGCCATGTGTATCCCAAAAAGCTGTTCCAAAGGTTAGGGACCCTTCAAAACAATATGCCACGCAGCAAAGGGTTGGTGGCAAGGGTGCGGGAAAAGTAGGGGGAAACTGACTGACCCCTCACTAAGAACAAAAAAATGTGCAAGCAAGAATGAGAAATCTTTGCTGACCCTCTGCATTCTTGCTGCACCCCCAATACTGTATGACATATTATTCTGGAGATTCCCCTGAACCTCAGCAGAGGCTTTTTGATGGAATACAGGAGACAGCTGAAATAATGTGGATAAAAATCTATTTACATAAACTCACTCCATTTATGGTAGCTTGGATCCAATCCACTGTTTACGTCATAAAAGCAATTTTTTTCATAATTACCTAGAACACTTTCAACAATCAAAGGTCTGCTATACTATTCCTTTATAGTCAAATAAAGTGTGCAAGAGTTATGAAAGGTTATAATCCCGATTCTGAATTTGGAAACAAGTTCTAGATATTCTGCAAGTTCTAGATATTCTGTTTCAATAACATTCCTGTTAACAGGTTTATTTCAAGTATGGCCCTGATAGTTCACTTCCAAGAATGCTCTGGATCATGGCACAAATGAATTAACCTCTTCATTAGATTTTACTGAAGACATCCTCAGGAAATAATACAATTATTTTTATCTGTCATGGATACCATGAAGCAGACTCTAGAATTCAAACCTGAGAACCAGTTCCAGTATACAAGACATTACAGTACCCATGAGCTGATTTTTAATTAGAACCATTTCCCTCCCCTTACTGTTTCCTTAAGAATTTTATAGAATGATTATCGATAAGCAATACATTGTATCTGGCAGTCTGAAAAATCATATCTACATCAGAAGAGCTAGATATATCAAATTAAGGTCTTATTTAGTGAATTTCTCTCTTTCATCTTGGATGACAGTTTTGATTAACTGTGTACATCTTACCAGCCCTTCGCTTGGTTTGATGTTTGCTAGCTGGATCACTTCCAGGTGAGCAGACTGAGAAACGAGAGGATCAGATGACAGTGAGATTATGTGGTCACAGACACTAGAAAGAGTCTTGCACTAGACACAAAAAAGGAAAATTACAGTAAATATGCTGTTAAAAATAAAGAGAAGTGAAAATTACATAAAATATCCAATAATATCCATAATTTGTAATGCCAAAAAAATTCCTGATTTCTTATATAAATGTGCATATTATAAGCTGACATCTAATAGTGCTATGGGTTTTCATTATCTGGGTAGGAGTTTCAGAAAGGAATAGCCTTTTATTACTATCTGACTACAGAGGTACCAGTTTTTATTTCCTTATTTTAGAAAGACCAAACTTAGGGTCTCTTTTAAAATCTGACATCTTGTTGCTGGAATGTCTATGATTACGCAAAAAGACTACTATTATCAGTAGTCTGAATTGGTAGTTACTGTCTCCTTGCTTACATAGGTCATAAAGCTCTTTATATTACATGATACCAATTATGTAATAAAAAGAGGCCTTGAGGCCTTTCAGTCTTCCAGGCAGTCTCTGCTTCATTTATGCTGTCCAGAGTTTTCCCCCCTCCCTGTTCATTTTGAAAAATCACCATGGTTCCCTACCCCTGTGCAATGTACTACCCACCAGGGCTCTTTTTGTAGAAAAATCCCAGCAGGAACTCATTAGCATAATAGGCCACACCCAACAGCAGGAACTCATTAGCATATTGGGCCACACCCCTGACAGCACAGCTCATTAGCACATTAGGCCGCACCCTCATGTTACCAGAAGTGTGGTTATCCAGCCACACCCACCTTTTGCTTGTTATTCTGTTGACCTTGTTTGTTGTCAAAACCCAGGTCCTTTTTTTGTAGCAGGAACTCCTTTGCATGTTAGGCCACACCCCCCTAATGTAGCCAATCCTAATGAGTTCCTGATGTTGGGTGTGGCCTATTATGCTAATGTGTTCCTGCTGGGCGTGGCCAACTTGGGAGCCAGCCGGAATTCCATTCCTGTGCGTTCCTGCCCAAAAATAGCCCTGCTACCCACAAATATGTACAGTTTTGTGCCATGATTTCTTATATCACCCTAACCACATCCTTCTGATGAAAACGTTACGAAGATCTAGAGTTATTTTCTGGGGCGTACAAGATGCTGTTTAATTCCTCTAATATATTATAGCCCCTAGTGTTGATTCATTATTCACATGGGTGTGTTCAGTCAACAATTATTTTAAAAGGATGTAAATAAACAACATTTATATTCCCACTAAGCCAAGAAATCCTCCAGAACGCCTCTGGTGAACTATTATCCTACAGCCTTATCTACCTCACAGATTTTTGTTTCATTTTCAACTATTTAGAAACAGATTGAGAAACAAATATATAAAAATTAAAATCCAGTGTTCTGGTGTTTTAGTGGGTATTAGTAGAAAGAAAGGGTTTTGTGGAAGGAGTTGGGAGCTGTAACTATGCTCACAATATCCACAGAATCTACAGTGTTGTCAGAATTGTAGCATAGTACTATCAACAAATCTAAGTTTTTTTCACAATACTCTTACACACGTAAAGCTACAAGATGCAAATAAAGCAAGGAAATGTCATCTATTACCCTGAAAAGGTGGGATTAGTCTCTTGTGCCATCACAAAAAACCCTTTAGGATTATATTTTTCCAATTTCTGAATTTGTAAAAAGAAACAGCTAGTAGTAGTAGTTAAAATCCTCACCTAAGATACTGCAAGCATTGCTAGAATAAGTACATTAAGCATGCAAAAGCCAAAGGGCTAAAGGACGTTTTCTGGGACAGAAATCTTGGCTCAGTTCAGCCAATTCTGAAAACCATGTAGTTATAGGTTCACCTGCAGCCTGCCCCTGACAGCTTAGGGCCAAACTAGACTGGAGTGTGTCTACTGGTCCAACAACATGCAGTGAGGGTCTGATCCTGGAGGGGGGCACAGAGCACTGGTCTAAGGCACTGTTGTAATGACCCTACACACCTTGTCAGGAACTGAAACAGCTGGTGGGGAGTCAGCCATTTTGGCACTTGAAAAGGTGCACAGTGGGAGACAAGAAGGCTTCAGCCTTCCATGCTGTGGGTCCAATCACGATCAGACCCCTGTGGCATTTTTAAATCACCTTAAAATGGTGGCAGAATCCACAGGTAAAACGTGTGGACAGCCACATCTAGTTCATCCCGTTTGTCACAACATCAAAAGCAGCTACTATATTAGTACTTTATCTCCAAACCAGGGTCAAATTCATTTCAAATGGAGGTGGGGTGGGGGGTTTTAGTTCTGGTTTGGAAGAAAAACCAAATTTCTTCAGTTTAGTCACCACAGAAATCTATTATGAGCAATAAAAGGAAAAATGAAATGTAATGTTACACATGAGGGAGAAAAATCAACTATCAGTTATAAAATCTACAAAAATGTCTTACATCCTTTAGTTGTTAAGAACAGTTTATAAAAAAATGAACCTATTTGCATAATGGCCCAAAGTAGAATCCAGTAATGAACACTGTACTTTAATGTATCCTAAGCAACTCTTAACTGAACTGCCCATTTAAAAATATTTTTTATGCTTCAACCAATATTCAGTGCCATCTCTAAATAGCTATACAACTTTTGTTCCACTTTTTAAATAATTTTTCTCCTGTAGTAAGAGGATGATTTTATTATTTTAATACATAACCAACCTTTATCAGAAATTCCATTCTAAAAGGTAGCTAGTGGTACACTTTGCAATGGCTATTATATTATGAAATAGGAAAACTTCGAATGTTACTGGAAATTTAGCATTTCAAATCCAATATTTCTATATATCCAATAGTTTTATATAACAATAGTTCTGTATACCAAGGTCCAGAACCATTTTGTCCTTCCACAGATCCTCCATAGATGGATGAAATGTGCTGTACCTGCTCTGCAAAACTAACAATGTGTTTTCATCTTTAATCATCTCCAAGATGGAAGATGCAAACAATTTATCATTGTTTTTTTATTGGACTGATAGGAGGATTTTTACATTGGAACAGTTGACAGACTATGATGATGGGGTGTTGTTTTTTTTTTGTCATTTTCTCAGCCCAAGTTTAGACGTGTATGTGTGCATGCAAAGTGTCATCACGTCACAGTTGACTCATAGCGACCCTCTAGGGTTTTCAAGGCAAGAGACATTCAGAGGTGGTTTGCCACTAAGGTCTAGATATGACTAAGGTCTAGATATGACTTGTCAACTTCTGTTGAATAGCAATATTTACAATTGCAAGTTGGTATGTAAACATGGCCCTGTAGCATAAAGTGTCTCAAAGTTTCCTTTGCTCCTGGAAACTCTAATTGAATTGATGCAGAAAACAAAGACTACAATATTTGTCTATAATTATTTGATGCTGTTCAATAAATGTGATGTGCAGAGTGTCAGGAATTAATAGAATAAGATCACCTTGTTTTGCCAAAGAAATGGGATATGGCCTTAAAGTTTATACCTGTTCTATGTATCTTGTTGCAATTTGTTCAGCCAAAAAAATATGTTTAGTATATACTGGGCACCACATCCCTTAAACATATGCTTTGGGCATGTCCAATCATTCAGTTTTTCTGGGAGGAAATTATTATTCATATCAATTTTGAATTAGAATGTTCACTGGGGTTTTTTTTATACTGAGAGCCAGTTTGGTGTAGTGGGTAAGTGCGTGGACTCTAATCTGGGAGAACTGGGTTTGATTCCCCACTCCTCCACTTGCAGCTGCTGGATTCTACATCACCAGTTATCTATGCTAACAATAAGAGAAATGGAAATAAAATTGCATTATGCAAAACAAAGAAACTTTGAATTTAAAAATAAACCAAGGAAATGGTTGGCTTATGAATTGTGAAAAGAAAGAGAAAAGAAAATGATACTGAAAATACAAGAGGGAGATACTTTATTAATAGATACTGTGACTATACAAAAACATTTTACCAATATTATTCTAAGTTATATTGATTCCCCACTCCACTTGCAGCTGGATATATCCCATTGGGGGGGGGGGAATACAGAACAACAAAGAAAAATTATGAATGGACCTATAATAACAAGAGACGTGGTAGAAGCCATTAAAAAGATTAATCAGGAAAGCTCCCCGGATCTGATTACCTTCCAGGTATAAAATAAAAATGCTTTGAGGATGAACTTTTAGAACCTTTACAAAATACTATGACCTCTATCCTACAGGGAGAAAAGATGCCAAAGACATGGAAAGAGGCTAATATAACATTAATACCCAAAAATGGACAAGACCTGACTTTGACAAGAAATTATAGACCAATATCATTATTGAATAATGATTACAAGTTGTTCACAATGATACTAGCTGAAATACTTAAAATAATAATTCATAATTTATTCATGAAGATCAAAGTGGTTTCTAAAAGACAGATGAGGCATAATGTCAGAACTGTATTAGACATTTTGGAATATTTGGAAAAACATAATGAAAAACAAACTTCATTGATGCAGAGAAGGCATTTGACATTCTGAACTGGACTTTTTGTTTAAAGTCTTAGAGGATATGGATTTTGGAGAAAATTTTATAAAATGGGTAAAATCGATTTATACCTCTCAGCACAAATAATTATCAATGGAGACCTGACTAAAGCATATGAGATACAAAGAGGAACAAGACAAAGTTGTTCACTGCCACCTCTTTTGATTATTCTGGTTCTTGAAATATTGAATAGGGATACAGGACCAGATGAAAGAATTGGAGGTGTAAAGAGTAAAGTTTTAAAAAGAGTTTTACAAGTTAAGAGCCTTTGCAGATGATTTGGTGTTCGTCTTGGAAAATCCTCTAAAAGTAATTGAAACTTTAATCGCCAAACTGAAAGAATTTGGTGCAGAAGTGGGCTTTAAGGTCAAAAATATAAGACCAAACACAACTGATAAACAGAACAGGTTTTAAAATTGAAAAGAAGGTAAGATATTTGGGTATCACCTTGACAAATATGGATTGTATGTTATTTCAAAATAATTATGTTAAGACTTGGAATGAAATTTTAAACGATTTCTTAAAATGGGACAAAGTTAAATTGTCACTTCTATGAAGAATTACTTG